CCAAAACATTGTTCAAGTTGTAGTAAGAACAATGTTGAGGGGAAAGGGGGAGGAGCCATCAGTTGAGTACCTACGGTCAAGCCGCTAATTAGGTCACCAACACTAGGCATGATAGATACGTAGTAAATATAGATATGTTGTTTGTGTGTGACAAATACTAAGCGTGCTCTAAAATACGTTGTTGTTTTTTTTTGGTCAACCAGGTGGTTTAGGGAGGGCGGATCTATAGGTAACACAGCTCACAAGCTACCATAGCTTTTCAGCCCCCCCCCCCACCCTGATCGGAAAATATCTAGCACTGACTTTTGGGCTGTTACATACCCTGAGCGTGCTAGATCGGCGGCTAGTTACGTAGGGCCGCGTACCGTATGTTTTGTTTTTAGGTCAACCAAGTAAACTGTTGTATCCTGCAATGATTTGGGGAGGGCGGGATTAACTATTGGCTACCAAAGCTTATTAGGCTCTCCCCCAAATAAATAATATCTGGATTTATAAATGGCCTTATATCTCAAAATAACTTAGACCTAAATAAGTACTGGTACGATAATGTGTCGGTAATGCGTTACTGGGCTTAGCACCGTCAGTTTCTAAGCATATCTGATCAGTGATAGATTCCTTCGATGTGGAGCATGTGAAAATGACTAAAATCTGTCTGTCTTGACATGGCGTAAAAAGAAAATGATATAAATAAAAAAATATAGATTATAACACTTTTGAAACACCATTCTTTTCACAAAATTGTAAGATTATAACACTTTTAAAGCACCATACTTCCTGTGTTTTCAATAAGTTCTTATTATGTTCGATAAGATAAGGGTAAAACAGTGTTCGATAATTTAAGCTTTTGAAAGCATCGACCTGACCCACTTTAACACCAAATATAAGTTTAACTATGAGTAGTAATAGAATAAAACATGTCTACTTTTTAAGAAAAATGGATGAGGAATTCATAGATACAATCAGTTTTTTTCTAGGTCTATTTTTTACGGAGATACACAAATTCAAACATAAAAAATGTCGGCGACTGAGCTTAACTTGTTTGATAAACGTAAGTTACTTTAGTTACAGTAGATCTAGATCTATAGATTCTAGATCTATATAGATTTTAGATTATTGACCAAGATCCTGTAAATCCGCCATTTAAAACATGATATTACCGATATTATTAAAATACACACGAGTCTAGATCTATAATAGTATAATAGATTCTAGATTTTTGAGTCCATTAAAATCATTTCATTGACTAATCCGTAACACCATTTTTTTTGTTTTTGTTGTCAACTTTAAGACTATATTTTATTTAAAGCATTTGGATTATGTATTTAGATCTACAAAATGTTTTTAAAATGTTTGACATGTTTCGGATGTTCCTTCAGAGTAAGTTCAGAGTTGAAGATAATTTACTTCCTAGTCCAAACCTACCGCAGGACGATGGGGGATGGCAGCAGGCAGGATATGAGCCCGGGACTATCGACAAGTCCGAACGACAGTCCAGCTCGCATGCCGCATGACCACTAGCAGCCGGAAAAATGTAGCACTGGATAGATCTACATGGAGAGAGCATAAAGGAAGGGTTTCGGATTGCAGATGCCATACACTACAGAAGCAGAAAGAAGGGTGATAATGCAACGGCGCTTGGTGATCACATATGCCCAACCTGCGACCTTTAGTCACACAAGAAGTTGCAAAGGGAAAAGATAGTCTCTCGAGACGTAAAATGCCACAGAATATAATATTTAATTATTAATTTATTTTAAAAATATTCTAACAATTTAATTAATTAAATATTAATTAATTTAATTATTTTATTTATAAATATTGTAATTACTTAAAGGAGGCAACTCAACGAGATATAGATGTTTATTTACATAGAGACATGACAAACACATAAGACATCTGCCTTGAACACTGCATCTTCATCCAGGCTCTAGACTTGGCGGAAATCGTTCTATTCTTCTCTAATGTCAACATACTTCCTAGTCTACTTCTAGTCACTAATAGTGTGCACCTTCTGCACTATCTTGGATGGCTGTGTGCATGGCAGGGTTATAACAATATTTAAGAATAAAAGTTAATATTAGGCGGCAATTAGTTTAGGTCTTCACCTTCGGTTTCATAGACTGTATAGAGACTATAGAGCATAGAGGAATCTGAGGAATAAAAGATTACTACTTACTGCTAGATCTGTTATACTATCTTTAAAAAAAAAATTACAAACGCTCCTTAAGAAGAAAGCCTATAGAGTAGGAGCAATAGGCCTACGTATACTACATACCTGCCTCAGGCTATTCTCTGTGGGGAAATTGAGATTATGCCTAATTTGTCCTTCGAGAATGTACTTGAAAATGGATAGGAGCTTTAAAGGTCAATCAAACTTGGACAAAGTGTTCATCTACAAACTATCTGGACTTATTGTGTCACGTAGATCAATAGAAAGCTAGAAAAGGGTTAATCTGGCAACACCTAACCATATGTTGTTTTTTTCTAAAAGTGATGCGAAGTCCTCTTATGCGCTAGAGTTAGCAGATTTGACGGGAAGTAGATCTAAGTTCGAAGATGGCGTAAACATAGATATAGGCTTAATATTAACAAACTAGATTAGATCCACAATACTAGACAGGTAGATTTAAAACAAAAACAACCCATCAACATAGACATACGTAAAAATAGTTTATTGAGCGAAGTTTTGTCAGTGGGGCCTCTTTTTAATAGAATTGAAAAAGATTTGTGAGATTCAGATTCGAGACTTTTTACTTTCAGTTCAAAGTCGACAAGTCACAAAGTGAGTGTCTGTGAAAAGTATAAGTCTGAGGACAGAACTTCTTTCTCTGAACAGTCTTAAAGAGTAGAATTTCATTTAAAGTTGAACAGAATCATGTAAACGACTAATATAGATCTAAAATCTTAATCTGATTAATACAAGATCTAAACCATAATGAACACGGCTAGCATGTACAAACAATATAAGTGAAATTAAAAGTATAGATAATAGATCTATTAAATAAAGAGGTAGAACTGTTAAGCTGCTGTTCAAGGCTGTTGGGATGTAGATCTAGATATCTAGATCAAGCTTGCCTTATGATCATGATGTTTATCTATCTAACAGATAATAAGACCTTCATGATTAAATGAACATGGTGCAAAAAATAGGAAGATCACCATAAGAGACATTGTAATGATACTTGATGAAATCATCTAGATGCTCTATGAAGTACCTGGTAATATGATGAACATCCTCATACTTTCATTGTGCATTTGAGACTGTTTTCCAATATTTTCAAAATACCATGATTGATGCATTTATAACAAGTGCTGCATTTATAGCTAAATGTGTTGATACTGTTGTAGCAGCTGCAATATACACTGTTGACCTCAATTATGAAATAGTTGCAGCAATTGTAAATGCTGTTTCCACTGTCATAGCATTACTAGTCTCAGCTTACAGCTATATAAAGCCATTCCTTTCCAAGCTACTGGAGATCTTAATGGACATATACTCCATTATTAAAACACTAGCTATTATGCTAATTACATCTATGCAAGTGGGATTGAATGCTGCTCATTTAGGTATTACTTGCCTCATCCAACTATGCCACACATGCTTTCATTATATTACTTGCTGTTATTTAATGTTAAAGCATTGCCTCACTGTTGCTGTTGGCTCCATAACAACATCACTGCAAACTGTATTTGCATTTATCTTCAGCACCATCACTTCAATTTTCTTCTGCATTACATCTTTGGGGAGCCTGTGTGTCAGCTTTGTAACTGGTGTTTGGCAAGGACTTGGTTTTGTGTTTTCTTCAGTGGCATATTTTCCTGTCTATTGTATGCAGTGCATTGATGCTTTTGTTGAAAATTCTTGGAGAAATGTAACAAACACATGTGTACATATTTTAAATGCCACTACCAAAGAAACTTATCTTGGCATTGTTTTATTATGCTTATTATATCTGACATTGTCAAACTTTTTCCGCTATATGAATAGTCGAGGCATTACCCTATTCCCTCAAAGATTCAGAGGCAGATCCCTTAGAATTAGAGAAACCACATTGAACTGGAATATTGACAGAGGATTTGAAAGTGATTTTGAAGACATGTATGGCTCTGATGCTGAAGATGTTGCATGGGCTCATGAAATAAATCAGACTAACGTTAGTGAAGGGGATAGCAGCAGTGATGATGATGATTCTGTAGATAGTTTTACTCGCAGCTCAGGTGTATCTGACAGTGATTCAGATGAATACACCATCGTTACCGAAGAGTCAGACAGTGATGCTTCCATTAATTCACAGACATTTTCAACAGAATCCAGTGATCATGAAATAGAAGTTCAGCTTCCAAAGGTTGATGAGCGTTACTCACTGAGAAACAGATCATCAACTCCCTCTCATATGCCTAAGGCAATGAACTGTCCTGAAGACTTTGATAGAGAGATGGAGAGAGAGAGAGACAAAAGAAAGTGTGTAGTTTGTCAGGATGAAATCAAGTCTGTTCTAGTTCTGCCTTGCAAACATTTGTGCATGTGTGTAGTGTGTGCTGATCAAATTGTAAGGTCTCAAATTGCAGGAAGAAGAGTCTGTCCTTTGTGCCGTACAAAAATAACGAAGGTCATGAATATTTTTGTGTGACTATTTTGGCAACAGTTAATGTATTTATTAGTTACTGCTTTTTTTTTTGTTAGTTTCATTGCCATATTATTTGTTTATAATTCGCATTGCCTTAAAAATTTGTATTACTAATTGTTCTATCACTAATACATAGTATTTGTTGGTACATTTTTTTGTTGAAACCTAATAAAATTTTGATTCATATCATTTTGTTTACATATACCTTATAAGTTACAGTCGTTCCTTCAAAGATCATTGTTTTGTTGCTTGTCATAAAAGTGTCATTGTATTTTGTTCTGGACCAATACTAATACATCCATCTTCTAGCTCATTGTTTTTCACTATGAATTATAACTTGTGTGTATGTATAACAGCTTAAAAATTAATTTTAAATGAGATGTACTGACACTTATTCAAGGCCTATATAGGCATACTGTAATCTGAGCCAGTCAAGTTAATTTAGATATGGTATAGTATGCACTTAAAACCTTTAATGCCTTAAGGTTAATGAAAAACAGCTTTAAATATTTGGTTTTAATAACAGTACCATACCAATTTGATTCTATCATTAAAATAAAAATCATAGCTTCTACTACAAATACTCTAAAGCTACCAAAGCAAACAAGGAGTAGAAATACTTTTTATTTCAATATCTGCCCCAAAAATAAATTTATAAAAAAAAAAAGGGGGGGGGGATATTAATCACATATAAACCTATACTGGTTACCAACTTTGTCAGGTCAAAATCTGTGAATTCGTTAAATGAGTAAGTATTGCCCTCGATAGATATGATCTTAATAGAACCAGTAATACAGGAAATAAAAAAAAAAATTTTCCCACATTAATTACAATGTACATTGAATGTTTTAAAGCTAAGGAAGACTTCAGAACCTTGTCTTTTTTTTTTTTGTTACAGATTAGAGCTACCAGTACCTCTCAAAGAAAATTAAGTTACCATGTGTATGTTTATTCATCATACCATATACATCTATTAAACTTGAAGACTACATCCAAAATTTATTTAATAAGTTAAATGTTCAAATGAAAAAATCAGAAATACTCTTTCCCATCTAATAATTGGCAATGATTCTGAAGATTAAGGATGAGTTCATTGTTTTACCGGACTACACAAACCACCCATTTGCAACCTGCAGATTTTACCACATCTGATGCAGACAAAGCTGCTGGGGGGCCTAAGTTTTTTTTTTTTAGAAGCATCTTTTTTTTATCTAATAATGCTACATTACACTACAACCAAAAAAAAACAACTGTACATAATGTTTGAGAAAAAAAAAATGGCAATGTGATTATTTTGTGTGTGATGTAACATGAATATTTATTTAGATTTCTATCACAAAGACTAAAATTCTTGAAAATAACTATTTTTTTTTGTATATTAACATTTAATCAAATGGTCACTATTTATTTTGCAGGATAAAATATATTTGCATTTACTGGTTCTGGAATTGCTTGTGATTATATATAAAACCTTATTATCATTATTATAAATGTCCACTTTGATCTAAATATTAAACATTAAAAAAATCTTTTTTTTAATTTTTATTTACCAAATTAAAAAAAAAAAAAGTTTAAGCTTTGCCTTTAAAAGGACAATCCCCTATATATGTATTGTTTAGAAAAATTCCATAAGCATTATATCATTATATATTATCATTATTATAAATGTCCACTTTGATCTAAATATTAAAAAAAAAACTAGTTTTATTTACCACATTAAAAAAAAAAATTAGTTTAAGCTTTGCCTTTAAAAGGACAATCCCCTATATATGTATTGTTTAGAAAAATTCCATAAGCATTATATGTGTTTAACTTTAAAAAAAAACACAATAAAGCTATAAATAATGTTTTTTTAAAGACTGCTGCTATCTCACCCAGAAGATAACAATTTCAACAACATGACACAATCTAAGGTTTTCAGAAAAATTTATTTACCAAAACACTTATTCTTTCTTAGCAGTTCGGGCTCTGCTTTTAATGACCACAGGCTTTTGACTTTTAAGAATAGCACAAGTTCTCCTCACAGCAGAGTTGATCAAGTCTTTTCTATAATTATTAGCCTTCAAGGAGTTGCGAATTGTAGCAATTGTACTTCTTGGCCCTTTCTTTAATTCAACTTTAGTTAAAGTCTTTCTTGGTTTCCTCAGTCCTACAGGTTAAATGAAAAAAGAAAAAAAAAAAAGCTTAATAGTTTGGATCAGTCAATTAATTAAATTTGTAAATGATCTTGACTAACAATCAAAAAGCATTTATTAAAATTAAAAAGGGGAATGACCTGAACTCATGGAGATTTCTCAAGCCAACACAGTAACCACTCTACTGGTGGAGAGCTTATGAACATGGAAGAGTGTATTGTTTCTATAGTCTTGTCCTATTTTTCAGGTTTGTGTTCAATTATACTCAGATGATCTATAAAGGGTACTAATTTAGTTTATACCACCACTTCAATCAATGACAATCTTTTTCCCTTGTTCAAGATACCAATCACAATAATTAATTACCAATAGTTAATTAACTAATTGGTTAAATTTTTTAATTGATTCTTGTGTTGTCAGGTAAAAGATAATTGTGCAGAATTTCAGCTTGATCCAAGATTGGGTGTGGGGAAAAATCATGTGCACGCCTGCCCACCTAAAAAAGTTCAAATGTGTAGCACTGATGGTCAAAATATGTATGTTGATATTGTTCCAATAACTATCATTTACAATCTGGTTTAAATTTATGCTTGTAATAATTTTGAGGTCTATTTTGTTCTTTAACACCCTTATAAGAATATTCACCCCTTTACCTTTAAAAATATTTTTTTTCTGTGGAGAATTTATTGAAATTAACAATAGATTTGAGTATACCATACCTTAAAAGAAGTAATATTAAGAAACTTCTCTACCATGTATAATAAAATGTCACTGAGACACAATAATTAAATTATGGTGAAAGAAGTTGAAGATATGCATGCTGTACTGTAGGGATATGTTTTGTTTAATATAAATGCTATCATTAAAATATCCCCCCCCCACCAGATACACACCTTTTCCATCAAATAGCGTTTCTGCACTAAGTCAAGAAATTCCAGGAGTTTTCCCAGGAAAAATCAAAACTTTCCAAGACATAAAATTGGAGCAAAAAATATAACAATAGCCAAAGTAGGCGTAATTTAGGTTGTCATTACCAAAGCGGTAATGGATATAAGCACTCCACTACCCATAAAATGTTTCCTACTGGCATGTGTCTCAAATAGCCTCTGACAACCAGTCCAACTCATGGATGTGGTTCAGATATTTAGTCTGGCGGAACTGTTTTCACAAACAGGAGAAGGGGCAAAGGTGAGTAACTGGCACTAGTAAGCTTATCTATGATTTTTTTTATTATAGCTTTTATATAGAGCTACTTTCATGCTTATAGCATACTCAGAGCGCTTTTGATCCAATCTCATTTGTGGACCGGTGGGGGTATCTAGGAGTTGGTTTTCCGTGCTGCCTTTAGGCGCTCAGTAAACACAACTCTGCTCGAGTCGGGTGTCAAACCTCGAGCCCCCTTCTAGGCAGCCAAGCCAAGTTCAAGCGCACTTGGCCTCTCGACCACGCTTCCCACTGCACACATAATGCATGCAAGGCACTATTGTTAGTAGATATTGATGAGAGGAGAAAGCTATTTGCAGATGCTTTATATCTGGGTCCAGGCAGTCTGAGCATTCTACTATAATAAATAAATGCTTTACTGGTATTTTAACAACTTCTCTATCAAACAACTATAAAGAATTAAAGAATTAATATATATTACTATTATAATCTACATTTATTATATTCTATCAGACTTAGACTCAGTAACTCACTATGTATACATCTAGAATATTTCTATCTAGACTGATTCAAACCACTCTAGACCTAGATCTAAGTCTAGACTTATAAGACAATACAATAACACAAGACTTCTTAAAAATAGAACTGTAACTGTCAAAAGACCGGATGTGCGCAGGCCCAAAACAAATCAAATTTTATTTCACATTCTTCCAAAAATGGAAAAATAATAAATTCGGATTACTTTTCATCAAAAATAAAAATATTTTTAAAATTAGGATTTTTTTGTTAATGACAGGCAAATTTCAGATTTTTTTGTGAGAAAATCGGTTCAGAAGAAATTTTCGGAATTCTGAAACATTTTCAGAAAATTCCCATTACTGGTGGAATTTTAGGAGATGCAGAAACCCTGATCAAACATATGTTAGCATCAATTACTTTTATATGAAACCCAACAAAACCAAGAGTATTCGCGAAATTATAAGAATTTTCCAGCAAATAATCATGAGTGGGATTTCAACCTGAGATAAAAAATTAGCATACCTTTGCTCTTTTTGGTAACCAGAACTACTCCTTTACCATCCTTAGCAGGCTCAACCCCAATTGTCTTGCGATGAATGAGACCATTATAACGAAAAGAGTTCTTACTTTTCAAGTTATTAGGTTCCTGTCATTGAAATAAAAGCAAAACATTAAATTTAACTGTTTACTTTTGAGGTTTCATGACATGTGATGTATATAGCCTTTCTATTAGAGATCCACATCTATATAATTAAGTCACAGCTTAATAATGTTAAGATTAGCACTTACCAAACTCATATTTTGTTTACTTCTTTTCAGAAGGGTGGAAGAGTTATTTCTAATTATCAACCAGCACACATCTGCAGTAGCCATGGTTCCTACACAAATATAGAAACATACAAATCAGTTCAAATTATTCAATTAAGTGTGTTTATAATAGTTCTTACTATTTGAAAAATGTACTCAAACTCAATACATTCCAATTTATCATAACACTTTACAATTTCAAATTAATTTCAGGATTATTAGGGCGCCTCTGAGTCCACTGAGCTCTAATAGGTACGTGACATTAATTTAGGAAAAGTAAAGGCAGTCTGCCGTTACACTATCCACATAACACCCTTGTTAACCATGAGCCACATAAACGGATAACCATAACATCATCTGCCCTATTTTACCAAATGATATGAAAGAGAACTTTACTTACTATTTTTAATAGGCCTGAATTCTAGTCTTAGGACTTAGTTGTAGTCTATTATTTAATTAGATCTAGAAACTTAATCTTAAGTCTAGATCCTAGTTTGGTAGAGTTAGAGTAGAGGAATACATATAGATTAAATCTAGACTAGCTAGATAGTGGAAGAAAGAAACAGGTTAGATCATGATAATGATTATCATGGAAAATGGTTTAAATCTACAGTCTAGATCTTGACACACAGCCATACATGATCAATGATTGCATATGAATATGATTTATTATTTAACTAAATCAGTCTCAGAGTATAATCTAAATCTAGTATCTAGTTCTAGATAATATTCAGTCAGTAGAGTAGCCAGAATATTTATTTAAGATCAAAATTAGAAATCTAGATCTAGACTTAGACATCTATATTACATATATATATATATATATATATATATATATATATATATATATATATATATATATATATATATATATGAGTGTTTCTCCAGTACTGATTACAACTAGGTGTTGGTTCACTAAAAAGTCAGTATTTCATAAGATTGTTATTCAAATGTGACAATTTACATTACATTGCATTAAGAAATGGTTAATCTATCAATTTTGATATTTTGAGCTCATAAGGTGATAGGGAAATATTGAAATTGTAAAAAATG